AAAAGTGTGTGCAGAGTTGCATTTTGTGATTAAAAATAAATAAAATAAACAATTTTGTAAATAATTTTTTTAATTTTTTAGACCTTAGAGAGTGACTCCGGTTCATCGAATAAGTCAGTAGTGAATCTCTCGCCTCCTCGTAAACCTGTTGATCAAGCAGAGCGAAGACTAAGCCCTTCTTCATCCTCCTCCTCCTCTCTCTCATCTAATGGAGCTTATGTTGTTCAAGCAGGGAAACTTATTACCCAAGGGCTGGAGTATGAATCAACTGGTCAACTGGATGAATCATTTGATCTATTTAAAGCCGGTGTGGATGTACTGCTTAACGGAGTACAGAGTAAGTTTATATTATTGGGCGGACAAATGATTTCTGAGTTATGGCCATTTTTAAAAATAGGCCAATTTATACCCTGTACTATAGCCCATGGTTTTTTCCAAAAAATGGCTCTGAAATCACCCCAAATTTTTATTGCATTTTCTGATACATATTGATGTACTTATGCTGTGTAGAAAGTTTGAGCTGATTCCAACTTCAATTTTTCGAGTTATGGCCATTTTAAAAAATAGACCAAAATCTGAAAAATACCCTGTACTATGGTTTTTTCTGAAAAATGGCTCCAAAATCACCCCAAATTTTTATTGCATTTTCTGATACATATCGATGTGTTTATGCTATGTAGAAAGTTTAAGTTGATTCCAACCAATAATTTTCGAGTTATGAGCATTTTTAAAAATTAGTTAAGTTTTGAATAAAAGCAAAGCCCACACGATTCTGATCAAAATTAATTTTTTTTATAAATATTTATAAAAAGAGCAATAGTGATTATTATACTCCTTCTGATGATGATAAAAGTATTTGGATTTGTATCTATAATATTATATCTTAAAATAAAAAGCCAACCTCAATCTTGACTTCTCAATTTTTGTAATACTTAGCTGACATGAACTCATCTAGAAGAGAAGCCGTAAGACAGAAAACTGCTGAGTACTTACAATATGCTGAAATATTGCAAAGAAAAATGATCAAGAAGAAGCAGAAATTGGAGGTAAGGTGACAAATAAATATTCATTCCTTTAAAAAACATATTTTAGTTAAATCGATCAGAGAGCTCAAGCAGTAATGCGAGGCCACACCTTCTCCAAGACTTTAAAGTCGTGAGTATCATAGCTAACAAGGTAAGATACTCTTGTGAACACTAAGTGCCGTATACAGTATATCCATCATACATGTAGGTCCTACTGACTGAAAGCAAGCATACAGGACAGAGATTTGTATTCAAGGTATATGATATTATTTATGGGTTGTCCTAACCACTTGTAATGATCTACTGTAGGTACTTCACAAGCAGCTGTCAGTTCAAGACAGGACTCAGGTGGTGCGTGGGCGGATACCCAGGAGCAAGAACAGGACACCTGTAAGTTTAAAAATTAAAATGATATTAAAATAATTTTAATAATTTTAGTCTCAATGCCCTTATATGGTAAAACTATTGCACCATTACGAGACGGTATCGAATCGTATCTTTCTCCTCCTGGAGCATATTAAAAATGGCCGACTAGTCCATCACGTTCAATCAATCAGAGACCACCAACTTGGAAGGAGGCTCCAAGAGAGAGAGGAGAGGCGGAGGAGAAAGAGAGAGAAGAAAAGACTAAGAGAGCAAGGAGAAGAATTGGCTAGGATTGTCATCGGACAAGAGAGCAGTACTTTATCTCCAGGCCCTCCATTATCCCCTAATGTATCCTCAGAGTCCTTAAATATGACTCAGAGTCCCATCTCACTCCCTCACTCTCACGGTAGTCCTAATCAAGACCCTCCTCCTACGCTCGAGCCTAAAAATGAAGATGACTATATACAATATTTGATGGATAATCTAAGTCCACCGACCGAACTACCAGTTACTAGCAGTGTTGGGAGTAGCATTGGTGGAGGGAGTGGTGATGGAGACGAAGAAGATGAGAAAGAAGACATGCTGGATGTATTAAGGAAGCAAATGGAAGAGCTTTGCAAAGAAGACGAGGAAGAGCTGAGTAGCAAAGCAACAAGAGAAGAAGATGCTAAAGTAACTGATGATGCTGCGATGCTTGACAGAGAAGATGAAGCTGAGATTCAAGCTATATTAACAGGAGGAGATGGTAAAGAGAATGATGATTCATTAGGTAAAGAGGATGGTTCATTAATAGAAGATACTAATAAAGAGGATGATGATTTATTAGGAGATCAAGAGCAGCTTCTTGAGTTGGAGAAGCACTTATCTGCATTCACTTCTCTTTCTGCACCAGATAATAACAGCGACCTCCTACAACTCAACCTTAGTCAGGATAATGATAATACAACTACTGCTGATCCTACTGATATAGTACCCAGTAGTAGTAATGATGATATTCATACTAGCACTGATCCACCTAACACTAGCAGTAGTAATAATGAAGATAAAGGCAGCTCTAAACCTGATGTTATAGACA